ACACTGTGTCTGAGTGGGGTATTCATGTTAAACTGCGGCATGGTATCTCAGTGAGATAGCACTATCAAATCGGCATTAGTCCGGACAAGTACATGCAATCACACACGCACGCACGCACGCACGCACGCACGCAGGCACGTGCATCTTGGACGAGACGTTAAACCCCATTTTACTTCACCTCACTTTATGAAGTACTGTTAATACCAACAGCGGAATTTAGTTACGGTATAATGCCATATATGACATGATTTCATGATACAGTGTTCAGACTGTGATGGCATGGCTTGTATAGCATAGCTGTATGACGGAGAGTTCAATAATATATCGTAATATATGTAGTGACGGTATAATGCCATATATGACATGATTTCATGATACAGTGTTCAGACTGTGATGGCATGGCTTGTATAGCATAGCTGTATGACGGAGAGTTCAATAATATATCGTAATATATGTAGTTACGGTATAATGCCATATATGACATGATTTTATGATTCAGTGTTCAGACTGTGATGGCATGGCTTGTATAGCATAGCTGTATGACGGAGAGTTCAATAATATATCGTAATATATGTAGTGACGGTATAATGCCATATATGGATTTACTTTATGACATTTTTTATATTCAAAAAGAGGAATCGAGTGGTGTGGTATAGCTCACTGGTTTCTGACAATATGATTGTTTTGTCCATTGCACGTAATTCGTCATGACAAGATAAGCTCACAGGGATTTGACTATTTGTGCTATCATGTCCTCGCTGTATCCTAATCCACCGTGAAAGCTACGCAAGGCCTCAATGTTTGGCAAAAACGATTATTAAAGATCTGTCTCAGAAATGGACTACGCGATGACATTTTAAAAGGATATCGAAACGTAGCCACAGCTTTACAAACTGCTGTTGATTATCTAAAACACTGCCGACACTGTATCGTTCAGTAAATCTGCTCCCAGGTGTCGCTTGCCGATAGCTATGCATTGATTGGTAACCCACGCAAATCTAATCGATGTCATGTACAATATTATGGAAACAATGAACATGGAAAAAGGTCAACGATTTGTAAAATTATAACTTTAAACAAGCGTACTGTAAATAAAAAAACACTCATTTATTTAGTGATATTATATCATTTAAAATTAGGGATATGCCAATTTAGTTACTCTGCATAGTGTGAGTGAGTTGGGTTTAACGCCGCTTTCAACAGTATTCCAGTTATATCACGGCGTGTCAGCCTAATGTGGGAGGAAAGCCCGATGTGACTCAGGTCTCAGACGTTTACCACTTTGGTGAAACCCACGAGCACGGGTATGGTGCTGACAAACCTAGAAACATAATCGGGGCGAACCGGGATTCGAACCCACGATCATAGGTTTCTGTCGTGCCCAAGGGACGTAACTCTGCATAGAGAATCGCGGCGCCTTAGATGACTGGGCCAGCCGTGCCCCCTACTCTGCATAGAAAGCATAATACCCAATAATAAGATTCAGTGAGTTGTATTAGGGTTATGTTATTTAGTGATGCTATCTTTATGAATGACCAAATATATTGCTGTCTATGCTGTCAAAATAGTAATAATGCATGAAACCAGTCGCTTCGAAATATTTAGTTCCTTTTTGATGGTGATGCTAGATTCTGATAGCAATTAGACAACTGGAGAGCGAGTTCTTGTTTTTCAAAAAGACTGCCTCGTCAGTCTTCATATAATCAGATCCGCTTTAAGGTCAAGCCTCTGTTGTTATATGGGGTGGAAGTTTGGGAGTTGAAGAAAGAAAGGCAATTGAAATCTTTCAACAGAATAATGGATTGTGATAAGCAGCGTATTCTTGGTAACATCACTCAATCATTGCATCTAAGATATTAGAAAGTAATTATAAAATGATGAATGTTATGTAAGCTTCATTATTAATCAGACGATTGTAAGAAGATATATGTGTTTACTTAGATTACATGCAGTGCCCCTAAAGTGTAACATGAGAGGTAAAAGTGCACTTCCCGAGGCAAGTGCGTCCACTAGCCTTTTTATCAAAGTCTTGTTCCCACCCTTGTCGTATCAAGCCCATTTTTCTGTGCTAAATATGATTGGATTAAATTTCACAAATTCAACATACACGACTGGCACACTTTCGTATGAAAGTCATTTTATGCTGCCTGTATTTGTTGACACGAATATATCTTTTTCATCTTTTAACACACCCCAAATCCATATCAGGAAGCAATTGTAAGATACAATATGGTTGTTTTTCAAGATAGTTGTGTATTTGATGACAAATCCTTTTTCACAACCCTTCCACTGATATACAAACTGAACTGGAAAAAGGGCGACCAATGACACCTCCACGTCTATTTCATAATTATCTAGACCTATGCCTAAAGATTCAGAGTGACAAAAACACTCTCAACAAGACTCAGTGACAAGAGAGATGACATCAGCTTTCCAATAGTTCCTGCATCTCCGACCCTCGGTGTCTACATTTCACAAATCACAAGATTTCAAAGACCGTAATGGGACTCTTGCTCACAAGTTGTTTGAGTAAGGTTACAACTTTCAAGGCCTCAGTAAAGCTTTCAAAACGTTTAACGGTAGACATGTAAATTCGATGAATCATTGACAAAAATTATGTGCGATGTAATTTGCTGTTTTGCATTGTACCATATGTTCCCGTGTATTTTTAGGTGAATTGACTTTCCTTTGCATGGGTTTGTGACGGGTGCCACTGGTGGGGCAGAATACACTTACATTTTAGCGAACAAATTGTATCCTCGCTATTTGATAGTGATTTATGAACACATGCTCATGATATAGTCGGAGTCGTACAAAGGACTGCTTTTTGCAAAGATTTCTTATGAAAATAGAAAGGGGTTTTTGACAATCAAAATATCTCAAATGATCACAAAACCCTTCTTGTAAACTGTCTACAAAATGAATGTGAAGAACAGGGTCCCACTATGCATTTAATTCAAGTGTCGTATGTGTTGCTTATTTTACATAAAATGTTCATTATGAAAATGGCAAGGGAGAAGGGTCTGCGCGGTAGGACATTTACGCAAGAAGGCACCCCCATAGGGACCAATTGTGCTTCCCTTCTTGCGGATCTGTTCTTTATGATTCGGAATTTCTGTTAGGATTGGCAATGTCAAAACAAGGTAGTTTCCGTGCAATAACAGTCAAATGGCCAATTCCCTCCTACTGATTTGCCCACCTGAGCTAGAAATAAATGAGACCAGTGAGACCGCCTCATCTGTTTCATATTTAGATCTAAGCATAAAAAATCAGAGTGAAAAAACACTCTCCACAAGACTGTATGACGAGAGGGATGACTTCAACTTTCCAATAGTCAACTTTCCCTTCATGTCGAGCAATACTCTAGCAGCTCCCGTCTTTCACAACTTTTGAGATACAATCGAGTATTTCAATCGAGCGTCATACGACTCTTGGTCAGAAGTTGTTTAATCAAGGTTACAACATTCAAGGCCTCAGTAAAGCTTTCAAAACAGTTTTATGGTGGACATGTGGAGGACATTTCCAAATTTGACAAAAACGATGTCAGTGCAATTCCCTATTTTGACCTGTACCATATGTTCCCGTGTTTTCTCAGGTAAACAATTGACTTGCCTTTACATGTGTTTTTGACGTGTGCCACCGGTGGGGCAGGATACGCTCACCTTTCCACAAACACCTGGTGTCATTACTAATCGATAGTGATTCATAAACACATGCTCATGATATAGTCGGGATCGTACAATCGACTCTGCTTTATGCAGAGATTTATATTTGGTATGAGAAGGGTTTAATCGCTTTATTTTAACAGTATGGGCGTTTAATCACAGTGATAATTGATTTAGGTTATGAAACGTTTAAAAGGTCTTAAAATTAATAACATACATGTAGTTGAGTAACATGTCAATTAGAGATTATACTAGCTGCCCTACATGTAATAGCTGAGTTGACAACATGCACATGAAACGCGTTTCATGTATTTCACTCATTTACTAATCAGCAAGATGTAATTATTAGTTATCAGAGGATTGGCAAGGGAACAATAGGGGAATCAAAGGGTGGAGAGAGGCAATTCACATTTCCCCGGGCAACTGCGGAGGAAAGGAGAACCTGCAATTCAAGAATAGACAGCCATGGAGAAAAGATTGAATACACTTGAGTACAATGAATAAATGGTAACTGGTAACAATGGGTTCAATACAACAGATTGATAACATGGCATTGCATCGATCACAGGCAAGAAATACCTTTTGTACATTCGAACAGATAGGCTGCGGGAATATGTCTGTGAATGTTGCACACAAAGTCGAAGGAACTTCATGTGTTTGCATGTAGTCTTTACCGTAGGTTTGATAGAATAGTTATTCACTATTACTATCATTAATTTGTTTTTAATTGCCACTTGATGAAATGATGACACCTAATGACATATAAAAGTTTTTCCAACCTTATAATTTGTATTTTCACAACCTAAAAGGTTTGATAAATTACGTAATACAGATTGAACAGAAGGAAACAGTTGTTCTTGGTTGGGTTGGTATAGCTCGTCCAAATACACTCGATTAATATGGAAGTGCTCGCCCAAACACACCCGTTGCGCATGTTCCTTTTTGTGGTAAATCTCGTGCGTGTCATGCTGATGTAACGGACCACTACGTTGAACGGGGTAACATGTGGAAGTTGATGTTTATTCGTTGTGGGACGAAGACGTCCTTAGAGCTCCAGTCAGGAGATTGCCTTTGCTAATATTAGAATTAACTTCCATTATCCACTTTATAACAGAAAGTGGTCAATTATTCACTTTAGATGAATATATAGACACATTTGATTTTGGGGCGATTTGGTTAGTGTGGCAATGAAGGTTTGTGTTTCTGTCTTCTGTTTTCGTTTAATTAAAATGTCCGACATGATATGTTTGACTTGTTGTTTACTTAACGGGGAATAACGTGCCTCATTCCCATATGGTAGCAGAGCGTGGTTTCAAAAGGTAAGTCAAATTAATTATGTCGTATCTGCAGGAGGGAGGCTCTGTAAAGAGCAATGAGTCTCTGGCCCAAGAAACAGAAGCGTCTCTGTTAAAACTGGAGAATATTTTGAAACTAAAACAGCAAAAAGCAAATGTTAAATCAACCTTTACAAAAACCAAAAACAAGCTGTACAGCTTATTAGAATCTTCTGACCAACCATCTCGAATAGACATACGAGATGGTATAGATAAAGTAAATGAAAGTCTGGTGAAAGCAATCGATGTAATGACACAACTCACTCTGGCTTTTGCAAAGAATCAGCAAGGTGAAAATGTCGCTAAAACTGAACGAGAGATTAGTCATCTTGAGGATGAAACTAATGCTGTAGTTGAACAGGCACAATTTCATTTAGATAATAGATCAGATGTGACTTCCGTGTCAAGTAGGGGACGCAATAGATTGTCTAGACCTGAACAGGCTGCGGGAAGTGAGCCATGTATTCAGAAAGACATTGGGCATGATGTTCATAGCATACCACATGAACACACACGTGCTTATAAAGAGTCACAGAGTTATGCAATAGGCACTGATCTATGGAAACAACTCAAGCGTGTTTCTATCCCAGTATTTTCTGGTGATGTTAAATGCTATGAAAGTTGGAAAGCTGCATTTCTGACATGCATAGACCAAGCACCAGCAACTGCTGAATACAAGCTATTGCAGCTAAGGCAATATCTTTCTGGTGAGGCTTTGAAAACAGTACAAGCTTTGGGGCATAGTGCTATAGCTTATGACATTGCATTAGAGCGCCTAGAAAGGAAGTATGGTGGTAGGAGGCGTCAAGTAGCGTTACAGTTAGAAGAAGTGACTAATTTGAAGCCTATTCGCCAAGGGAATGCTAGAGATGTTCAAAGATTTGCTGATGTCTTGGACATTGCAGTCGTTAGTCTGAAAGAAGCAGATAGAATAGAAGAGCTTGGTAATGGGTTATTGTATGCCACTTTACAAAAGAAAATGACCGAGTCAATGATCGCACAATACCAAAGATGGCTTCATGACAGAGATAGGCAAGAGTCTGTCGAGACTCTAAGAGAATGGGTACTTCAGGAAGCTGAATACCAAACGATAGCTGCGGAAACAATACATGGTGTTTCTGATAAAAGCAAAAGACTAGAGTTCAAAAGAAAAGAGTCATGCTCATTTGTCAGTGAGCTGAATAGAAAGTCAAAGAGGGAGGTCTTATGCAAGGTTTGTGGTGAACAGCATGTGTTATGGAAATGCAATGTGTTCAAGAATATGAATGTTTCTGAGAGATGGAACACTGCTAAGAAAATGAAAGTATGCTTTCGCTGTCTTGGTGGTAATCATCGTGGCTCACAATGTAGATATGCATATCGCTGTGGGATCAATGGGTGTATGAAAACCCACAATAGACTCTTACATGAGAACATACCCAGAATTGACATTGCACAAGGCAATCTGGATTTTGCAGAAAATAGTTTAGTTGTGGAAAAGGAGGATACTCAGGTAGGTTCTCAAACAAAAGGTCATGACCAGGGCTTTTCTGAAAGAGCACATGCAACTATGCCATTGGAATTTGACCATCCGTTCACAGCACTTCGGACAGTCCCAGTAGTGCTGAAGAATGGAACTAAAAGGATCCGTGTTAACGCATTATTGGATGATGCAAGTACCAGGTCATACATAAATGCTGATGTAGCTTCAGAATTAGGGATGCAGGGGTCAATAGAGAAAATATCTGTGAGTGTCTTGAACGGTAAGAAAGAGACATTTGAGACCAAGCCAGTGGTATTTGGAATTGAGAGTGAAGATGGTAGGGTGGATATGGAAATGACAGCACTGACTACTACTAGGGTCACGGGCGACTTGCAAGTGATTGATTGGCAAAAATGTAGGCACAGATGGAGTCACTTGAAGAACATAAGCTTTCCACATATTGGGCGACGTCCAATTATCGATCTCCTGATAGGTATTGATCATGTGCAATTACATCAGTCATTCGAAGAGGTTTGTGGAGATGTAGGTGATCCTATTGCAAGGAGAACGCCTCTTGGGTGGACATGCATAGGCAATGTAAGCAGTCAGGCAACATCCCAAACACACTGTACATATACATACCACACATACAGCAAAGACAGTGAATTGTGCTCATTGGTGAAGTCATTTTGGGAAATTGAAGAGTTGAAGACTCCTTTCAAACGCCTTATACCAGATGACGAGCAAGCTCTTCACAAAGCACAGGAGACACTAGTGTATATGAATGGCCAATATCAGATTGGTATTCCTTGGAAGAACGTTCCATCATTACCAAATGACTATGCCATGGCATTTCGTAGGCTGCTTAGCACTGAAAAGAAGTTATCCAAAGACCAGGACACGGCACTAGCCTATGACAATATCATCTTGCAGTATCTTGAAAAAGGTTATATCCATAAAGTAGATCATGAGGAATCGAGGGAAGATGTGTGGTATCTTCCTCATTTTCCGATATTGCGCCCAGATAAGACCACAACAAAGGTCCGTATTGTTTTTGATGCTTCGGCAAAGTATCAGGACACATCATTGAATGATGTAATCAGTCCAGGTCCGAAGCTTCATAGTGAGCTCTTTGATGTGCTGATACGGTTCAGGAGAAAACCAGTAGCTCTCATTTGTGATATAGCAGAGATGTTCTTGCAGATCAAAATATCACCGGAAGATAGACCTTACCACAGATTTCTCTGGAGATCTATGAATACAGATATGCCTCCTGAGGTATACGAGTTCAGTCGTCTTGTATTCGGTAACACCTCTTCTCCTTTCTTGGCTCAGTATGTTACCCAGGAACATGCTAAGGCACATCTGGTAGATCTGCCTATGGCTGCAGAAACTGTCATAAAATCCACATACATGGATGACAGTATGGACTCGGTAGAGAATGTGGATGAAGGTATAGAACTGTACAACCAATTAACTCGATTATGGTCCAGTGCTTCAATGCATGCTCGGAAATGGTTGTCCAATTCCCTGAATGTCCTTGATAACATTCCTGAAGGAGATAGGGCTTCTGAAATTGATCTTTGTAAAGGCCATTTACCATCAGTGAAAGCACTTGGGTTAATGTGGGTGGCTGAAAAAGATATGTTCACATTCAAAGTTGGTACATTTCCTGAAGAAGAAACCACTAAAAGAGGTTTTCTCAGGCAAATTGCAAGACTATTTGACCCTCTTGGATTCATAGGACCATTTATAATCACTGCAAAGATTCTGTTACAAGAAATGTGGTTAACAGGACACGATTGGGATGATGAACTGCCTCAGAACCTGCAACAGAAAATAGAAAAATGGTTAGTACAATGGAAAGAAGTACAAGGTGTTCAGGTACCCAGATGTTTGCGCCTTGATGCTGAGGTTTGTTCAGTCTCGATTCATACCTTTGTTGATGCCTCTCAGGATGCATTTGGCACCGTTGTTTACGCCGTCTATACTTACATGGACGGAGAGAAGTCCAGCAGGATCGTTGCTGCAAAGAGTCGTGTAGCTCCGTTGAAAGCCTGTAGCATACCACGCCTTGAACTGACGGCAGCTGTACTTGGCCTCAGACTTGTCTCTGAAGTGGTCAAAGTTCTTCAGATTGAGATTGAAATGGTTACCTTCTGGTCAGATAGTAGGAATGTCTTGTGTTGGATAAGAAACAATAGTCGTACTTTCAAACCGTTTGTTGCCAACAGAGTTGGAGAAATACACAGCACTACAAATCCATCTCAATGGCGACACGTACCATCTGCAGAAAATCCTGCTGATCACTTAACAAGAGGTCTGTCTGTTTCACAACTCATACACAATGAGTTATGGTGGTCTGGTCCTACGTTTTTGCTCAGAGATGAAACTGAATGGCCATCTGATAAAGCATTTTCCCTTGACATGATCAATGATGATGAAAGAAGAACGAGCAATAAGCAGGTTGCTCTAGTTTCAATACAGAAACCTGACCTTGAGACGTGGAGACTTGACCCTTCCAGATTCTCCAGCTGGAGAAAATTGACACGTGTGAATGCTTGGATTTTCAGATTCTTGCATAACTGTTCCATGTCAGATGATTACAAAATGAAAGGTGAACTTACGGTAGAGGAAATAGCAGATTCTGAGTACAGAATCATTGCCGATGCACAGGCGGAAGCATTTTCAATTGAATATGCAACTTTGTTGTCAGGTAAGATGTTGGCTTCCAGTTCCAAACTCCTTACACTTCAGCCACATCTAGATGAAAATGGGGTCATGAGATTGAGTGGACGCTTAGGCAATGCTGAATGTTTGCCACTTGGAGCGCGATTTCCCATAATTCTACCTCGTAGAAGTTGGGTGACAAAGCTCATCATAAAACAGTATCACGAAGATGGTAAACATGTTCTGGGCACAAACCAAACACTGGCTGCAGTGTCATCAAAATACTGGATTATCTCAGCACGAGAAGCAATACGTGAATGGGAAAAAGAATGTGCTCGATGTCATAGGGACAAAGCAAAACCTGCCTATCCAATGATGGCTCCGTTACCAAAAATGAGACTTCGAACATCCTTCCGTGCATTCAGCAAGGCTGCTGTTGACTATGCTGGACCTTTCATAACAGTCCAAGGCAGAGGAAAATCACGTCAGAAACGTTATTTGTGTCTATTCACCTGTTTGACTACAAGAGCTGTTCACCTAGAGATGGCATACAGCTTGGACACCAGCGCATTCCTAAATGCGTTTTACCGAATGGTAAATCGAAGAGGTCTACCACAAGATGTCATATCTGACAATGGAACAAACTTCGTTGGTGCCGTCAAAGAACTCAAGGAACTTCTTCACATGCTGGATCAAGATGCTGTTCGGCGTTCCATGGCCAATCGAGGAGTGAAATGGCACTTCAACCCTCCATACTCGCCGCATTTTGGAGGCGTATTCGAGACGATGATAAAATCGGCTAAGCGTGCTATCTTCGCTATCCTGGGGAATGGTGACGTCACAGATGAGGAATTGGAAACGGGATTCACCGGAGCTGAAGCGCTGATCAACTCGCGCCCTCTGACATATCAGTCGACTCATCCCCAAGATGAGATTCCTCTGACTCCGAATCACTTCCTGCATGGCCAGATTGGAGGAATGTTTGCTCCGGAATCCGTAGACACAACCGATTATCACCCCAAAAAACGCTGGAGACGTATTCAGGAACTAATGAGACACTTTTGGAAGCGTTGGATGAAGGAATGGCTCCCAGGCCTGAACCCAAGACGGAAATGGCGAACTCCAAGCAGAGACCTGTGTATCGATGATGTTGTGCTGGTGATATCTCCTGACACTCCACGGGGACAGTGGCCACTTGGTAGAATTGTCAAGACATACCCAGGAAGAGATGGACATGTGCGTGTGGTGGATGTACGGATCGGACAATCAGTGATTACTAGAGCAGCAAACAAGATTTGTCCACTGGAGTGGTCAACTGTGAACTGTGATCCGGGATTGTGACTTCGGATATTGTGACTTTGGATATTGTGACTTTGGATATTGTGACTTTGGATAATATGACTTCATCAACTGACGTCGTGAACAGTGACTTTGTGAAACTGAAATGTGTTGTGAACTGTGACTCTTGAACTGTGACATTGTAAAATGTGATAAGAGCATTCATGGATATTCAAGGACTAATGGATTGTAATAATTTCAATCATTTTGTAAGTATGGTACAGTTTTATTTCAATTCATTGCAAAAGCTAGAAGTGTTAGTATTGTGATGATTTTGTATTTATTGTGTTGCCAGGAATCTGTCAAGGAGGGGGGTATGAACAGAAGGAAACAGTTGTTCTTGGTTGGGTTGGTATAGCTCGTCCAAATACACTCGATTAATATGGAAGTGCTCGCCCAAACACACCCGTTGCGCATGTTCCTTTTTGTGGTAAATCTCGTGCGTGTCATGCTGATGTAACGGACCACTACGTTGAACGGGGTAACATGTGGAAGTTGATGTTTATTCGTTGTGGGACGAAGACGTCCTTAGAGCTCCAGTCAGGAGATTGCCTTTGCTAATATTAGAATTAACTTCCATTATCCACTTTATAACAGAAAGTGGTCAATTATTCACTTTAGATGAATATATAGACACATTTGATTTTGGGGCGATTTGGTTAGTGTGGCAATGAAGGTTTGTGTTTCTGTCTTCTGTTTTCGTTTAATTAAAATGTCCGACATGATATGTTTGACTTGTTGTTTACTTAACGGGGAATAACGTGCCTCATTCCCACAGATATTTATTTTCTATGGTGTCTTTTTCGAATTATGGTGAAATGTCACAAAAGTCAAGCAAATCTAATTCAACTTTTCTGGAAAGTTCCCTGTTCCTAGTTAGTTGGATATCCTATATATCCCATATATATAAGACGTTTTATGCTACATTTATAACTTCATGACTAGTGACTAGTGACCAATATGTCAGAATAACCATTTTATTGGGATAAATAGGGTTGCTTAAGTGTAAGTCAACTTTGGCAAATGCATTAAATGTGTGGTACATAAATTGTATATTCAACTGTTTACAAATACCTTATTTGTAATAAAAGTCATGAGAACATGTTTTATGTTACACAACATTGATAACAATGTGTCCAATGATTGAAGAGTTTGGCGCGAAGGCTGTATATTTCACTAAAACGGGCTTTCAAAATGAAAAGTTTACTTCGGACATGGAGAACATGTTAAGCAAAATATAATACTGATCAAATGTTACGTAGATTTGACACTTCAGTGCTAGACTGATGGACTGACATGCTGACGAACGGACGGACACACATCGACGATGTTAAGGTGAGCTGAAAATAAGTTCTCAGAATAGATTGAGAAAATCATTTCTTATACATGTGAAGGGGGCCCCTTGCTACGATAACGCACCATAAAATCACTTGAGTTTAAGTGGTTTCATTCATCCGAATGGTATATTATAAATAACGATTATGAAGTTTCATCTACTAACAATTCTTAAATGTCAACTAAAGAATCCATAACGGCGATCTATGGTAGAGATTGCTATTTCGTAAGTGATTTCCTCAAATCAGCTTTCAGGGATTTTCGATTAACGATGTTTTAGGGCAGGGATGTCAAAAGTCTTCAAACTTCCTACAAATCGGTCACTGACTTGACCTCAGTGTTATGGAATGATTAAGGCGATAATCCAGCTTTTGAGAATATGAAGTAGTTGGACGCACTGCAAAGTGCAGACTGTTGAAATGTGAAATAACCTGATTAGTCAGATAAAGAACATCTTTTTACACAGGGCGACATAAAAAGCGACCTTTCACATGTTGAGATTAATGTTCGAGTATCACTAAAAATAGGTCGCCAAACCTTCCCGAAGTAATTGCAGAAGAAAATACCAAATCGAAAGAGTAATGTTATCTTTGCTGCAGTCAGTTATCAGGACTAATGATTAATTTTTTTTACGCTTGTGATGAATGAGCACCTTCACGGGAGTAATCAATAATCAGCTTCTTATCAGTCCATGTGATGTAATATTTTTGTGCACGACTACAATTCATATACGGGTGTATCGCTAGTTCCTATGATTTTTTGCAAGCCTTTTACCTGTTTCAAATAGAAGGAACTGCCTCGACGTTTCTACGTAAAGCGAAAGCGATCTCCTCGACTCGAAAGTAAATTAAAACCCATTGTTTGTTACATTTTTTTCTGTTATAACAGCACTGCGATATTCACACAGGATTAAAGCTGTTGATAAAACGGTTCATGACCAGAAGATGTTTGAAGGGGATCATATACTATTTGTCATTTCTGATTCTGACACTTCCAAGGAGGGTTGACTAAATCCTCTGACCATTATTTCTGTCAATCTTATTGTGATTTTCGCGATTTCATTCATTGTTTTTGTGTGAACTAGTGATACTGCGTCGGCAACGCGAAACAGGCAGAAGTCAGTGTTCAGTGGCCAATACGTTCAGTGTTTCACAGTCTGTGGCAGACCATAGAACACGTGCCAATAAAACCAAAATGTTGAAGATCGATCCCGTTCAAGGCGTTCCAGATCAAGGACAAGAGTACAGGGTCGATTGATTCGAAATGAGGCTCTACGAAGACGAGCTCACACGACGAATCAATCTTTGCAACTTTCATATTTCCAGACTTCTGGAGTACGGGGCAGACGATTAGAAATCGTCTACATGCAACTCATCTCCAAGCTCATCTTGTGCCGTCCCTTACAAATCGTATATTGCTAACAGACGTCAATGGTGCAAACAAAACTTGGGTAATCGTAGCTGGTCACGTATCATGGTTTTTAGATGAGTCAGGATTCACTTTGCACGTAGTCGTGTCTGACAACGTCGACTTGAACGTCACCTCCAGCAGTACAACATCCATAGAATGCAATGACCAGCAATGAGCCAAGACCTTTCCTTCATTGAACACATCTGGGACACGATAGGGACACGTGTGCGTCAACGTCATATGCCGCCGACCACGTTGGCTGAACTTGGCAAGACGTTGTAAGAGGAGTATGACAGACTCCCTCAAATCGCCATTAGGAGACTCATAAGCAGTTTGCCTCGTCGAGTGAATGAACCATGGCGGTATAACGCACTACTGATCCAAAAACGTCAGGTTTGAAATTCCCCATCTTACTCCTGTTGTCCTTCAAGATCGTTGGTGGCCATCACATCAACTGTCATACTTCACTACCAGTTGTAGTGTGTTCCCCATTCGTTCATTATTGTCATACAGCTATTTCTAGAAACTAATATCTCTTATATTTTTGAAAATTGTATCTTATTTCAGAGTATCCTCTACTTTTGTAAATATACCTACTCCATGGCATGCTTCTGTGTGCATGATACACCATACACTATTTTAAACCATGAACAATTTCTAGGTATAACAAAATCTGAGAAAAACCAAAAAGATCAATATTGTAACTAATTACTTGTAAAGTATCTGTTTGTTCAAATGAAACATTATTTTAAGAAACACTTGAATGATATTAATACCTGAGGGATCAGCTTACATAACTTCTTAAAGTCTGCTAAGGCTCTACACTTTAAAAGGTAATACGTCAAATTGTGTGCATCTGTTGAAATAGCCAAAGACAATATTGCGTGAAGACATGTTTAATGAACAAAAAACCGTTGACATTTCTCATACAATGCCAACAAACAACATGTGACCAATAATCAGTCAGATTACCCTTCAAAATGAAAGTACATCTGACAATAGCTGAAAAATCACGAAAACAAATTCATTGTCCTAATAAATAACTCTCAATAGCGTGTATGTGATCCACGTGTTGCGTTCACAGCATGCCAGCCTCGTCTCATGCTCCACATAAGTGTCTGAACGGTTGCCAAGGGAAGATCTATTCCATTCTTCAGGAAGAGCATTGACAAGTTCCTGTATAGTTGCCGGAAGGATAGGGCGTCAGGAAAGGGCGACATGCAGCTCATGCCACATGCATTAGTTATCGTCCATGAGGAAAAAATCCGGTCCAATTGCATACGGTCTCACCTACACATCCAGAATGTCATCCCAAATCATGCTTGAGCCCCTTCCATAGCGGTCATTTCGAATCCTGAAATGTTACCTCCTTGTCTAAGCCACACTCGGGCACGACGACCTGTGAAGTCTAGACAGTCTCGATTAATCTGTGAAAAGTACTGGAGCCCAGTCCTGTCCTGGTCTCTCCAATTGACTTGATCTTCAGCCCAATCCAAGCGTGCCTTCCTGTAATGTGGGGTCAGTGGAATGCGAATGCATGCCCTCCGTGACTGGAAACGGATTCGATGACGCACTGAGTAGAAACGTTAATACAGGTCGTGTCTGGGTGTGGTGGCAGTCACAAAGTGATGACGTCTAGCTGCTATCAGGAGAAACCTGTCTTCCCGTTGTGTGGCGGACCACATACATGTCGCCTTGTTCAATGTTGTACTACTGCAAGTCAGTTGTCAGTATGAATTCACTTTGCCTTGTCGGTTGTTGTCAGTACCCATTACATTTTGTATTATATATGTGATCATTACATTGTGCATTGGAAACTCGTGGCATTGTGATTTGGTGTATGTACTCATTGCATTGCTGTATGAATGTACTGCATTGTTGCCCGTTAAGATCCGGGGTGGAATAGGTCTTCAGCAACCCATGATTGCCGTAAAAGGCTACTATGCTTGTCGTAAGAGGTGACTAACGGGATCGGGTGGTCAGGCTCGCTGATCTAATGGATGCATACCATCGTATCCCAATTCTGTAGATCGTTGCTCATGATGTAAATCACTGGACTGCCTGGTCCAGACTCGTTTATTAACAGACCGCCGTCGTATAGCTGGAATAGTGCTGAGTGCGCCGTTATACAACAAACAAACAAACAGTACGCAATGCATTGTCAATTGCTGTATGTACCATTGCATTCAGCACTGATGTATGATTTGTACTGCTTGCATTGTGGAGTGATGTTTGTCCATGGCACTGTATGTTTTCCT